GCGTGAAAGATCGGTGACGGGAGTAATCCTCGGAAGATCAGGAAACGTAACTGAGAGCATATTCCTAGTAGGAATAGGAATAGTGGACATGGGCTCAAAGAATAATCCTACAAGGAATAGGAGTGGCGCAGCAGGCACGAGAGACCTAGTCACCAAAGGACTAGGCGAGCATAGCAGCGACGCACGAGATGTTGCACACAGACGGGCAGCATTGCTATGCGCGGTAGGCATAGGCGAAGGGCGCGGGCGGGGCGCGCATAGCGCGCGAGAAGTGAGGCGGCCGAATGAAGTTGGGGCGCAAGACTTGGAGTATTCTAGAATGGTTTGGAGTGCAAGGCAAGGAATTGGATAGCAAGTCAAGATATTAGGAGATCTAGTAGATTTAGGAATTTATGGTAGTAGGATATTTGCTAGCCTTAGGATTTAATATTTAATTGTTTTATTAGTTTCCTAGTAAGATTAGCATTAGAGATAGTTTGTACCTATAAATACCCCAAGTACCTCTTCATTAATAAACATGTTGAGTCTTGGAATTGATGAGTGAATCTCATAGGGGGAACTTGTAGTTCTTACGTGTGTTTAAACAAAGCCATTAGTGCGTGTTTACATACAGTGTCAGAGAGAAGGCCATTAGTGCGTCTTGAAGTCACGGTGTCTAGGAGAAGGCCGCAGTGCGTCTGTTAGACACGTCTATCGTGGATAAACGAAGGCCCAAAGCGCGTTTATTCACAACCCACGTATAGATAAACACACGATCCGTCATCATTGGTGCTTTCATTGAGAGGTGCTGATCGATTTTTTGTCTATCTTATCTTTTTATTTTTTTCGGTTTGCCTTTTGCTGAGGGACCGAATTTCTCTTCTTTTTTGGGGTCGAAATTTTCGAATTTATTCGAATTTTTCATTAAATAAAAAAAAAGTGTCATCTTGTTAGTCCTTTGTTTGATTTTTGTTCGGTTATTACCTTTTATTGAGGGGCCGAATTTCTTTTTTGTTTCGATTTTTTTAGTCTTGTTGGGGGTTCGATTTTTCGAATTTTTCCCCTATTATTTTCGAATTTTTTAGAGTCAAAAAAAAAAAAGAGAGTCATGATGTTACCATTAGAAGAGTGGGATCAAGAGGATCTCGAATATTTGGAAGATATGGAGAGGGAATTAACCCCTTGGGAGCAAGATTATTTGGAGGAGATGTACGAGCAAAAGGAGAAGTACGAACAACAACTCAAGATCACGAAGGAGTTCGTCGAAGAAAAGCCTTTGTTTAAGTCCTATCTATCGGGCTATGTTGAAGAAGAGGTTGTCGAGTGTGTGGACGAGCCGATCTAGTACGATGAACCACATGCGCTCGATGAGGGGACTATGGGCGAGAATTTCTCGATC